CAATTGAAGGCAAGTAGCGTTCAGAAACTCAACGAAACTAACGCAAAACTCCCCCTGGCGGAGAATTAAACGTAAGCATTTTAAGGTACCTTAAACGCCGAGAATTTCACCCCAGGGGCATAGAGATAGTCTATCCAGTTATATAGAGATCAGTGGAGATGTGCGTCTGCGTCTCTAGACGAGTATCGCTCAGCGCCATTATACATACTTTTCGGAGACTCACCGTGAGTCGATCAGAGTCTCGCTGCGAGAGACGTTCTTCTTTGCATGCGAGACGCTCTCGAAGTAGAGTAGTCTCTCAAGGTATGTTCTGAAAATCCCCTCACCGTTTTCCGTATAGAGATTATTGAGAGACAATAATTGAACTTGCAACGCTTAATCTTTATTTACTAACAAAATAAGATACAAAATTGTCAATTATTCTTGACAGAATCATTGAAGAGATTTTTTTTAAGTTGAATTTTTTTCTTTATTGCATTATAGCTTTCACTTTTTCATTCTAATTATAATAAACACAAAATTAAAGTACTAAAGTACAATATTAAACGGATAGAACGTTTTTTTTTAACCAGACCAAAATGATAATTATAATAATCGTTAAGAGGAAGCCAAAGCAGCAACTAAACGTTTCATCACCAAAATTACATCTGACAAGGTTTTAAAACTTTCCCGTGTGATTTTCCAATCATTCTCCCCTAGTCATATACACTTTTCTCCTAAAGTAACATGGGTCGTTTTACAAATACTTATTGTATGATCGACTCACATTGCAATCTTTTTCAAACGTGACATTTACCATTTAAAGCAATAGACTCTTGATCATTTTTAAAGATTTTGGTACCTGAACTCATTGTTGTATGTACCGAAACGATTATCCTGAAGCATAGGTGGCCCATAATAGTTAGCCTGAAAATTCTCCATTGACTGAACGTCACTGCCTACATAATTATTATTATTATAAGGATAATATTGTGGTGGTTAAGGGAATCCCGAATTGTACATAAAAGTGTCTTGAAAACTCCAAGGATGATAGTGCATATTTCCGGGTGCATTTTGATGTTGTGGGGGCAGTGATTACAGTCCCTGAATGAGTGAACTATTCTCTTTGTTCCCATTATTCACCACATTTGATGTCAGAGCTGGCTGTGAGATATTTCTGTTCACGTCAACAGAACCAGCAGAAATAGCCGATACTTTACATGAATTTTGTTCCTCTTGAGTCAAGTTCTTAGGGCTCAAAGGCTGCTTACCTTGTACGGTTTCACCTACAGACCCTCTTTTAGTCTTACCATCAGTGGAATTTGAAACAACTGTCTCACACGAATCTTTCTTCGCCTTTTTTAAGGCTATGGGGCTTATATTATTCCAAGCCGAGTCCACAATGAATGATGATGATAAGAATGAGGATGAACGTTGTCCGAGCAGATATTGATCATCACTCAGATGCCGTTTTCTTTGTAGTTTCTTTCTTGGAGTAGATGTTTTGATGTCTTTAGTTAAGGAACTGCACCTCGATTGAGATTCAACTGAAAAGTCCCCTAACTGATTACAAAAACTGTAATTTGTAATTCCCATGGTCAAATCCTTCTGGTTGAATTTTGATGAATGAGATGAATTATCTTTTATTCCCGTCATACCGTCAATCCATCTAGAGAATTTCCGAACCTCCGAATCACCAGAACCTTCTTCAACTTTAGACTGTCGTCTAGCTTGATGCTTCTTCTGAGTATGTGAATCACTTGTCCCACCCAGGTGATTAATTTTCTCTTCCATATTTGAGCGACTACTTGTTGAGGAGATAGATAAAATACTCTCATGAGAAGTCAAGATGGAAGCCTTCGATTTTTTAGATTTCTTCTGTTTTCGAGACCCCTTCTTAGACAATGGTCGTATACTGCCCTGTTTTTTGTCATCTAAGGCTTTTTCTATTTCATTTTTCAGCGATTTTTTTTCAGTCACCCTCTTCTTCGCTGTGCGAAGTGAACCACACATCAAATTTACAACTTGGTTGTAATTGACTGGTGGGTCTTCTGCATGCAGCGTTACGTAATCTGCGATAAAAATACATAAAAAATTTAGACGTTTTTAAACGTGCTTTCATAAGAACGAGTATTCACAAAGTTCTACAAAAATAGCCTTGGGAAAATCACCTTGTATCGCCTTGTATAATACAGGATCGAGTCCTTCATGCTCATCACTTCCTCCTTCTGCACACATCTTGATCAACTTCTCCTCACCTACTTGCCATTTCAATAATTTTCTAATGAACTCCTTACGATTTTTCTTCTAAGAAGTTAAATTTGAAATATGCTGGCTTTCAACCCATACTCCCGAGGAAGGCACCAATTCGACCTGACAATATGGTAAAGGCGTACTGTTGGTGATCTGACAAGCTATTGTGGAATAAAAATTAATTCATGGAGGCTTCTTTGTCGAGTGATTTTAACGAGCAAGGTGTTCTCTGAAAATCATCAAGTAATGTTGAAATTGTAAAAGTAAAGTCTCAAACAGATTTTCTTATCAGATGTAAATAGGCGGTTCACTCCACGATGAATTCTGATGAGTGAATTTATTCTTACCTTTCCGGGTCCAGGAATTCTCCAAGGTTGGCATTTCACGAACAATTTCTTACCCTTGATGCGAAAAAAATGTATGAGAATTCTCACGAAAAATGATTAAAATGGTATTCTTCAATTCATTCTCATAGGCTAAATAGTGTTTTACTTCCGAATTTTCTCCACTTCTCTTAGTTCGAGCGCTCAAGTGCAATTTTAAGTAACCAAGGACATGTTCTAAAACGAAGACTACTTCTGATGTTACTGTAACAGAGTTCAATAGTCGATTATAAAATTTATAAAAGATAGTCAGGGGAAAAAGTCGATGTAGAGAATGCAAATAATTGAATCAGGAATGAAAATTAATCGAATGAACTATAGGAATATCCTAATTTCATTAGATTATAACTATCAGACATTATAAATGACGAAGGAAATTTCTTTTAATATTGATTTCGACTGAAATTTTCTGAGCACTTCGATTTAGAAAAATTTGCTATACATGGGGTATTCTAAGTCAAATCATCAATGTTTACCCTCTCAAAAAATACGTGAAAGTTAATCAGAAACGACTTTTTTTGCTGTTTTAAAGTATTTACTTTACACATATGACTTTTACATGTTTTTGAAAATTCATTCCAGGCATAATATTCAACGGATTCAACGGATGAAAATCAATAAAAAAAGAAAATATATGTTTTTTCATAGTCGATCTGAATGTATTCAATTGTTACATACGAAAATTCGGATAAAATGAAGGAAAAACGAAAATTATGATGGCAAAACAAAATGAAAATCATTTAAAATTCTACCTTTCTGACGTATTTTTTTTAAATCTTAGAAACAATATGGAGATGGTTTTCTATGGAACTTCATTGCAAACAAAAATGCAATCAATTCTTGAGATGGGCAGAGTAAATGACTTTTCGATTTAATATGAATCTCTAAAAATAATGATTGTACAATCAAGAAATATTAGTAACTATGCTGAAAACTCATAAAAATTCCTTCTTTCATCAATATTGACGAACAAATTCATTTATTAAGGGAATAGAAAGGGCTGATTTATCGTCACAAATGATAATTCAATATTGGGCCAATGTGGTAGCAAATGAAGATTAGAAAGTAATTTCCTACGAACAACTATTCATTCAAAATTTCTCTCCTATTGAATTGGCTTCACAATATTAATCACCAAGCGATTCAAGTATTCCTGTCGTTGAAAATTGAAATAGATGGATTCAGGGGGATGCCAATACGAAAAACAAAAAAAATAACATAAAATCTCAAAGACGACACAGCGGATCTTTGAGTATAATTTTCTCCATTGGGAATCGTTTTTTTCTGGTTCTCAATAGAGTTTTAACAACACAAAAATTTATAAAAACCTGGCAAAGATGCACATGAATTGCACAGCTGGCACCGTTGTCTATTTGGATGTGGGGCCCCAATTTTTAAGGGAGTCTCACGGAAAAGTAGCGTAAGTTCTTCAAAAATTAGGGTGCCACATCCGAATTTTTTGGGTGGGTCATTCGAATTTTTTATTGAGCACGGTTTGGTCCCATGGGTTGGTGAATAGCACACTTATTTGTGGTAGAATTTTTTCTCAGTGCAGGAGGCCGAAATGGTATAGGCCGGTCCGCGAGAATCCGCGACCAAATCGTGTTCCGTATAGTAGTTATCGTATTATAAATCGTGCCACTTCGTTCGCATTACTCCACCTCCTATACGTACTGTAATGGACCCGAGCGGACGGGTTCGTTGATAGGGATAGATCACTCGTAGATAATTGGAAATAAATATCTCTCAGGGAGAATCTACTCCTTTAGCAATCGAACGATTTATTTAAATAAATAAAGTCTTTGTCTGATCCCGTAGGGATCAGGCATTATAAGTTACAAGAAGGTGACTTAACGAATCGTCGTATTACTAATTGACTGTGTCTGACAAACTAACTAACTGGCCCAGTGGCAACGAATTTGTAAGTTCATATTTCATCGTGGATTCGATTGCACCAAGTTAAGGAGATTAGGAAGAAGATGGGAAGGCGGCATTTTAAACCTAACTACCGGGTTCGGAGTAAAAATTATTTGCCATTAAAAAAAAACTGTTAGAACCGAACCGGGTAGGGTTTAAAATGCCGCCTTTCCAATCTCCTGAATTTCAAATAAAGCAGCCTCATATCCTTCTTTCCGCTCATCCTAATATTACCTAATTTTAATGAAAAAAAAACATTTCGATGACGGAGAGGACTACACCACCACCTTTTCATATGTAGAGTCCGCAAACTTTGGAGGCATGTATCTTGGCGAAAAAAAAAATCGCATGGCTATAGGATTACTCTCATCCGTTAGATCGACTATTAGTCTGCTTCAATACGAAGTTTTATTTTTTAGCAGGCCATCGTTTCTGCGATACTGTGAGGAAAAGACGAAAAAACCCCTGTTTTTCATGTGCCGTAAAAATTGTTGAACTTTGACCGGATGTTGGAGTTTCAATTTTTCCTGAAAAATTAGCCCTATTTTTTATATGTTAGCTCGCTTATTCAAGGATGGAATGATTGAACAAAAATGTCATTTTTATAATAATTATTCTTTAAATAAAAATAGCTCATACGGCTATCTTTGCTGAGAAATAACCAATTGGAATGACGAAAATATATTCGAATAGACAATTAAAAATTGAAAACATTTTGGTTATAGTTTATTGAGAGAAACACTGTGAATATTTTATAAAAATTCTTAAAATTTCCATTTTTTTGCTGACCGCACGTCATTATGGTTTTACCAGAGATATACTTTTCCAACCCTCGGAACTGCTACCAGACGTGCACTCTTCTACCTCTTTCAGGGACGGATGGCCTATCGGTGCCAACTCTTCAATAAAACATTTCGTTGGAGTCAAATGGGAAAATTAATGAGTTATAAATTATTTAAGTACAGGAATTCGATCGGCTTTTAATTCGTCACCAATAATCGAAATGCGTGAAATTATCTCATGGAATAAAGACTCATTTTTAAGGTGATGATGAAAAAATTCATTTTATATTAAGAAGGATTTTCACCTGAAAGAGTGAAGCTAGTAAAATTGTCCTATGATCCATTTTCTCGGAATAGACTTTATTTTGCTGTATAATCATTCAATTTTATCGCATTTTCGTTAGTCAACTAACTAGAATATGGAAATTTTTTCAATATTGAATAAATTGATTCTATTCCAGATAATATTTTGCTCAAGGCCCCAGTATTGCCTTTGTCAGCCCTAAAGAAGGTAGCAAAGGGCCCATGTGGAAAGGATTTTCCGGGTCCAAGAGGGAACACTGTCATAAAATTTTGGAAGGTTGCGGTTAAAGTACTAATATCTTTTCCGAAAAATTTCAACAATTATTTATAATTTTCAGAAAAATCGTTTTTATAAATGCTTACAAAAACGTATTGAATAGTCTAGTGTATATAAACTGGAATTTATCCCATTCGAATTGATCATTTCCTATTGGAGATATTTTTGTATGAGATATTTTTATTTAAAAAAGGAATAATTACTATAAAAATGAAATTTTTGTTCAACCATTCCATCTTTGAATAAGCGAGCTATCATATGAAAAATTGGGATAATTTTTCAGGAAAAATTGACACTCTGACATCCGGTCAAAGTTCAACAATTTTTACGGCACATGAAAAACAGGGGTTTTTTCGTCTTTTCCTGACAGTATCGCCTATGGCCTATGGCCTACTAAAAAATGAAACTCCGTATTCAAGCAGACTAATAGTCGATCTAACGACTGAGAGTAGTCCCATAGCCATGCGATTTTTTTCGTCAAGATACATGCCTCCAGAGTTTGCGGACTCTACATATGAAAAGGATAGTAGTCCCTTTGATAACGGGACAGCTAGTGAGGAATTCTTGAATTGGCTAACGGGCAGACACCCCAGCATTGCGTGGGGAGCCCTCCCTCTCCTGGGGTGAAATACTACGATGCCACTGGGGTCACTCAAACCCCCAGAGCTGAGCCTCTACTTTAGAGCCTCTCTGCTTGGAAGTAAACCTCCCAAGCACTTCAGTCCTGTCGGGAGGTTAGTCCCTGCTTCCGACGTTGGCACTAGGGTGTGTGCATCGGGGCAGAGTTTGGTATTACCGACTGCCGAGACCCCCCTATTTTTAGGTCTGACAATTTCGGAAAATGCTCTAAATTCTGAAAATCCAACACGTGATCATGTCCAGTGATTTTGATTTTTTTTGGTGAGATTTGTGAGATTCAATTTTCGACGATAATCCCTTACAGTGAGGCTTCTGCAAGGATTAGAGAACTAGGGACTGGCAATAAAAATTTATATTTGGGTAATCTTTATACGTTTGTCTAGAATTACCGCGGTCGTGAGACCAGAACACGTCGACAACTGACACACTATACTTTGTTCTGAACTCCTCTACACTACTTTAATGGACTTGAAATTCGTCGAAATTTAGTGTTTTCAATGAAAAAGAAAAAACATCAACTTACACGTGGTACTTAACGTGGTAAATTACTCTGTAAGTAATTATCTATATTTTGGGCATTGTCTCTTATCTTGGAATTAACGAACATTCAAATCACTGTTGTTTAGCCAAATTCTCTTCATCTTAATTAATACGAGATCTACTGCGCACTCCGTACGCCGAATTCGAATTTCGATTTCGGATTCGAGTTGACCAATAGGGAATCAGTCTTACGAGTTTCGACTAAGGCGAACTTCATTTACGTATTTCTGCTTTCATGATTGGGACGGGACATACTGCGCACTCCGTGCGCCGAATTTGAATTTGGCGGTTCGAGTTGACCAATGAGGAATTAGTCCTACGCGTTTCGAGATATTTCGACTCGGGCGAACTTCATTTTTGTGTTTCGACTTTCATAATAAGGAACCTGATCTCAAGATGACCCTGAAATTTGGCGACTTCCGATGGAAAGATTTTCAACCCCGTATCTGTGGCGGGGGGATGATGGAAATTGGAGAAAATCAAATTCAGTAGATTAAGTATGGGATTATTTAATCGTGATGATCGCTGAATATGATTTTAACTAATTTTCATAGCCAGTCTTAACAATAGAAAAATGGGAGATCTATTAACGTTGTATTCTCGTTTTGGGATGGCTTTGTGGGGGAACAAAAAATTATCCCAGTTTGAACTTTAGAAATTCTTTTGTGATATTCTTTAGTTTTCTTTCTTTGTTAACAGTCGCCAATTAATCCGTTGTTATGCATTCAAACTTTGGCAACTTGTATTTTCCTCATAAAATTAAAAAAAAAAAACCAAAATCACAGTTAGAAAACGAAAAGAATTCGTCGTGGTTTTCTTCTTTTTTCTTTTTTAAGGTTCGATAGACGAGATATTTAATGATAAATTTGTGAAAAATTTCATACGGCGGATATTTTTTTAAGTTTGTGGCGTATGCGAAAAATAACAGGCACACCGTTTAACTTTAACGAAAGTCTCAACTTAACATTTTTTTTTTACATTTTTTCGTCTTGAAAATTGTACAAACTACAATTTTCTAAATTCCATCATTCCCCCGCCACAGATACGGCGTTAAAAATTTTACCATCGAAACTCGCCAAGTTTCAGGGTCAAAGAAGGAGCACTCGAACAACGACTGGCGGCGCTAAAACACCTCAAAGTTAATAATTAACATATAAGTTAAGAAATCAGTGAAGTAAGAATAAAATTTGTGCCATAAGATAAATCAGACCTCAAACTGCGAGTTGAGGATTTCCAGTCGGAGAAAATAAAAAGGCCAGAAATTGAGAGCAAAGAGAGTGGAGTTCAATTGTTAAAAGAGGCTTCCCACTGTAAGTACATTGTGAATTACTCAGTGGCAAAAGCTCCATATTTCAGCGAATATTGTAGAAAAATTCATACGACTAAATACGGGTCTCTTCACGGCGAATTAAGGGCGATTTCATTATATATTTTCCCGGATTTTGAAACGGTAAATTGTACAAGATGGTGCAGAAGGAAATCCAGAGAAAATTCTATCATTGTTGGCGTCTCCAGCGTCGTCATTTTTTGGGAAAATCAAGAAAAATGAAATTGATTCAAGTTCATTCACATTTATCCGAACGATCCTCAGTAAAAATAATACGTTAAATATCCCAGAAACTAGGGAAAATTACGGGGAGAATTATGCAGGGAATATTTTTGGGACTGATAATGAATCGAATCATTATTTTGTACAATTGAAGAATTAATATTATAGCAATTCGTAGAATTGTGTGGAATTGCATGGGGAGTCACGAAACGCTCTGAGTTCTCAAAACATATCATTTTACCGGCAAATATTGCTCAAGTCAAATATTATAATTATAAACTCGAATAGAATAATACTTTCTGTTGAATAAATGATACCGATTTGTTTATTGAATTGAGGCTCGTTATTTGCATTTCTGAGCCTCAACATCAAGCTGAACAGTGGATGTTAACAAATAGATGCCCTAATAAATCAAAGTCAGTAAAATAAGTAAAAGGGGAAAAACCTAGTTGCTACGTCACAATATCGTCCTAGTAATAAATTAATAATTAAGTAATTTTGTTCAAGCTCACCTGATCCGAACTTGATTAGAATAATCAGAATCTGGTCCGAATAGTTGCAGGCGGTTAGTTTAAGTGCCAGCCCGCCTGATCCGAACTTGATCAGAATACTTACAGGTGAACAGCTCGATTCCAGGTCAGGTTCACCTGATCAGAATCTGATTCGAATTATTATTGATGAACCTCAGTTTTTCACACTTCGAACATCAGGTCCTTCTAATCCGAACTTGATCAGAATGATTACAGATGGACGAACCTTGGGTTCAGATCAAGCTCGCCATATTAGACCCTGGTCAGAGTAGTACGGATCAGGTTGAGTAAATCGAAAAGCATCAGTTTCTTATCAAGTTCTGTCTGATCAGTTAAAACTGACCACCGTCGTATCAAGTCCTGATCAACCCTCAGACTCGCCTGACATAATTTCCACTCGGGTTATTCATTATCGAGCGTCAGCAAGGTTTCACGTAAAATCCAAGAGAAACCGGCCGAAAAAGAATTTCGTTCCTTTAGCGGAATTCTCCAAAGTAAAAATGAATGTATATCAATGTAGAAAACTGTCGGAAAATTCATTCCCTCACGTTTATCGTTAAGGAATTTCTGATTGTGGAGTGGAGTGGAGATTCTGATTTCTGGAGTGGTTGTAGTGTGGCGGACCTGCTGATTCGCTAGGAATCCGATTCACCCCATAGGACACTAAAAATCTTAAAGTACGTACAGCATAGATATCTGGCTACCGTTATCACCCACGTAATGTACACCCCAAAAGGATAAACTTGGATTATGTACATTAGTTGAGGGAGAATTGATTTAATGAGTTTATGCGTTCGACGTAGAGAGCGCAGGCGGCTAATATAAATATGAGAAATGATTTCATAGTAAGAAATATTTGAGAATCCTTTGTCGATAGGACAGAGATATATTTGTGACCTGTTTTAATCTAATAGCGCAATTCTTAAAAGACAGAAGAATAATTATTGTTTTAACTTGCCGCCTTCAATCCGAAGAATTGACCAGAATTCTCAACGGATTGTAAGAAGCAACGGTTGCCAAGCTTCTCAAATATTCGCTCGACACCAGTGCTCAGATAAATATGTCGACATCTACTAAGGCCTTTTCGCTAGAGTCTGAAGATTTTGACGGCGATGGATCGTTTCTTATTCCACAACCACGAATTAGCTTGACAGGATCACGTCTGTATTGCTCCTTGTATCTAGTCGTTACCCAACAATATAAATCGGCAATGCCTCTGGAGTCATTCAATTGAAACGCCTGTAGTTCTGGCCTGAACTCCCTAGTCAAAACTGGCTGGATTTACAGCATACTTATTGATGAAGCTCTGCATGTTAAAGAGGTGGAAAGCAGCTCAAGATATTACTGGCGATCGAGGTAGAAACTCTACCCGTAGTAGTAATACCAAGAGATTCAGACTGAAAAGTGTGATCGACATTGTTGAATTGGAGACTGAGTGATAAAGTTAGTAACGTGCAGTATGGCAGAGGAATTTTCATGAAAAACGCAACGGATTCGAGCGATGCGTATGTTTATTTATTAATTGGTGCAACGGAAGTCACCAAACTTGAAAATTTAATAAAAATATTCACAATGAGCATTCCTATTCTCACGTACGTATCGTTCATTGTTGCCGGTTTCATACTGGAATTTTAAGATAGATAAATTACACTATCATGACAGATGTAATGTGGTGGGACGATGGAGGGAAAAGTCGGAGAGGAATTGGAGGGAAGGGGGAGGGAGGAAGAGAAATAGATGAAAATGAATGACGCGTCGCGCCAACAACAAACTCTTTCTCTTTCTCTCGCATATACACTCGCACGTACGCTACACACAGATAGACAGATGCACACCCTCGCCCACGCCCACATGACCAATTTCCTTCGCGTGAAATACGCGCATGTGCTCAGCATAACTTATTAATCCTGTCTTCAATAATTTTTTGTTCCTTAATCAGACTATGCGTGTAAATTGAATTATATATATGAATCTTGTATTTTTTCGCTTGTTCACTTTAGTTTTTATCATGTAATCGTGTATTTTTTACGTGTATACCCCATGTTTGTGATTGTATGTTACGGTATGGTTTTTATGTACATATAATTAATAATAATAATTATTATTAATAACAACAATAATTAATTAATACAGATAAGAAATCATTAAATCACGGCGAATGACTTCATTGTTTGATTAAATTTCATTCAACCTAATTGTTGACTTTCTTTATTCGTTCCCCTTCTCTTATATTGAATATCTTTTATTCTTTGATGAAATAAATGACACCGTGCACGAATGCTGTTGTAATATATAAAACTCCTATCAAGTTCATCAGTATTGACCTTTTATTCATCGATTATTTTTCGCCTTCGAATGCATTCCAGTATGGTTCCAATTCTACCGATTTTCTTCTATGCATTCAATATTCAAAAATTAATTCATGTCTTATATTATTCAAAAAAAGGATCTGTTTTTACATGTGAAAAAAAAACATTATTTTTTACGCCACAGAGAGTGCAGAATCAGTTGGTGTTGGCGATTGTTTTCCCTATTTCTTCGTTCAAGTTCTTTCAAGTTCGAAATCCTGAAGTTATTCAGAGTTAAATTTTGTCGAATAAAATTTATTTCGCAATTTACTTCAAAGAATTTCTGATTCGTACGAAAAGGGATTTTTGTTTTGTTTTTTTTTTCGTTGATGATGGGGGAACACGTCACGTTAAGGTATAAATCCTCGATTATTTATACAATCAGTTCAATCGAGAATTACCACCATTCGCGGATCTTCGGCGCGAGGTGCTGGTGGTCGTTGTGTGGGGAGCGGGTGGATAGCTGGGACTGGCAATCTGCGCCATGGCTTACGAGCTGCTCTTCGAAGCTCAGCTGAGGACAACGTCCTCCGCAGTCTCCTGAAAATACAATTGGCAATATTAAAGTTTATTGTAAGAGTCATTCAATGAGCTCCATAATTGAACGATTAAATCGGCGTTTGAAAACAAAAAAAAATTGAAAGTTTAATATTCTCAACCATACACATCAATAAGTAATTTAGCTTGAAGCAAATATGTGTTATATCGAAAAATTATTAAAAATCGCGGCCTTCATCAAACACAAGGGATTTCGTAGTTGCCCTGCAGCACTTCCGAAATCGTTCCAAATCGTCGGACTACTTAGAAGCCCGAGAAATACAGTAAAAGTAGAACAAAATCCCAAATTATCAATCACCACTTTAAGTAGCCAATGCCCAAATTCAATTGTGAACTCTGATAGTAATAATTAAAATTCAGTCTCGAAAAAATTCTGGACCCTTACGGTTCTCTTTCTTTCACCAATGACGTAGAGTCACGATTATCTTTTAAAGCGGACCACAGTCACGGCTCCAATAAAAATATATTTTCGAATTACGTCGGCTAGCCAAATCGTCTTCCGCGTGAAATTTATATTTATTGGTGATTCCATTCCGTGTTTGATCGCCGTCTGTCATACGAGAGGTTTTTCATTTTCAAATATTCGTATCTCTCTAAATACGCTTAAAAATCAATTAGAACTTCCGCGGTTACAAACGCGCTTTTCTTATATTTTGCTGCGCGTATGATTCTTCTTTGCAAATTCGAATCAATACATTTTGGAAATTCCGTCAGTTATAAATTGTAAAACCGGTCGTGTGAAATAAACTCAGTGTGGCCTAGAGGGAGACCAGAAATCACGCCTGGACAAAATTATACACCAAAACTGTAAGTAATTTTAAAGTTTATTAAATCCCCCCATTCCATAGCGAACCATTTGAATTATATCGAGTCAATTAAAGCAATCAACTATGCAGTCGAGAAAACCGCTGCTTTAAAAGAAATAAATGGCCAAGCTATGACTACCGATGAATTGTTAAAATACACATGATAAGTAACACTAAATCTGGTTGTAAATTTAATCAATTCAATCCACAATCCCAGATATTTAACTTTTATTTTTCAGGGAGGGATATAGTAACAGCTCAAAGCCAACAAAGTAAAACTACACAAAAATAAGCGGGAACGAGTCCATGAGCATCACAGTACTTTGATAGATTAAAAAAAAATGCAATCTAAATCAAAATATATATTTTTCTTTTCTAGACATCCGTCGAAACCCCCTTGGGACTTCTCAAAAGTTATTCATAGAAGAGGAAAAGTTTGTATAGCGTTCCACATCTTGTGACGTCACTGAAAATGGTTGGTAAGGATTTTGAATAAAGTAGGAAGGGAAACAGGATAATATCTCGATATAATTTTACAAGAACTTTACTGAAATTCATGGAACGATGATAGCTGTGAAGGTGATGATGCGAAAATATCGAGAATCGGAATGCGCAAGCTCTACAAATAGTATTACTGAAAAAACCCCTGCTAGACGGATGTATGTCTTTAACCCAGAGATTACTCCAACTCCACATTATCCCCACCACCCGTATTCACGAGAATCCTTCTAATTCTGTTAGGGCCCCTGCCCTGGAGTCTTAATAATTTTATGCTTGCCGCTCCGAGTTTACTTGAGGTTGCCCACCCCTGCCCTAGCAACGTGAACTCAACTGGCGGCGATGATGCCGTGTTTTAGAGTGCATCCATATTTTATCACGTATTTGAAGAAAAAAGGACGTGAATACGAATGCATGAATTAAATATGAAAAAAAAATCCTGATGGAGAAATCGGCGAAAATTGCTTGAATAAGGGATTGAAATGGAGAAAAAATTTTGTTTATCGTTTGATTGCCTGCCAAAGCCACACATTTCGCTTCATCTCCAACATTGTGCTCTGCCTTATCATACTTAAATAAACATCGTTAGTCTCGCAAGTTTTCGCAACTTTAGTCTCGAGCTTTTCCTCATTGGTCGATCTCAGATGGTTGAAGTTGGTAACACTTATGGATGTTCGGCAGGTATAGGCGAAACAAAAGTTGGCAACTTGGCAAGCCAATTAATTTTCAATTAATATTTCAATGCGTTAAGTAGTTGAAGTAATAGCCATAGAAAATTATTATATTGTATTTGATTTTATGAATAAATATTATATGGTTAAACAAATAAAAAAAAAACTTTACTCAATCGTCAAGAAACTTTTACCATCGTCTTATATCTGGTCCGATAGTAAATTTTCAAAATTTCAACAAAATTTCATATTTTGGGTTATTTTTATAAAAAAAATGTATTTTCTATTAAATTTTTATTTTACAAGTGAAATAAGTTTCTATCGAAAAGCGTAGATGAACTTCTTGATTAATCGATTTTTCATCGATTTATTAATATTTATTTTTCTTATAATGCGTATAACTCGCGTAGAACAATGTTGCTAATATTTTTGCACACTACAAAATGTCTCAAGATAAATTCCAATTTCTTAAAAGACGCAATTTTTTATAAGTTTCTGTAAATTTCGTGGAACTTCCTTTCGCGAAACAAACCGATAGTGAGTACTAATTGTAATTTTGCAATTAAAAAATATTATAAATTAATAAAATATAAGATATAATATGATGTGACAAGTCATGAAAAATACACACCTTTTTCCACCTTTAATCTAAATTCAATTAACATCTCATCACTGAGTCGAAAATACATAAATTTCAGGTCTAATAATTCGAAAATTACAGTTTTCACTTGAATTCTGCTCCCGGAGACTTTCGCAGTAGTTATTAATTTGGAATCTTTCCCAATAAACTTAATTTTTTTAATTTGTATCGTTCATATGAAGCATTAAAGATGGAAAAACACGATAGTCTAAATGTTTCACGACATACATCTTAATAATAATAATGTTAACGTCTTAAAAATGTTGGTAATCATTTTTAAATGTACCTAGTAGCATATCATTCAAATTTGGTGACTAATATAACGTATTTAGTGTGTAATGAACAGAAGCTGCAAAATATTTTAAATGATCAGTTATTGTGCGGAACAACTTTTAATGAAAAATTTCAAAGGTTTTATTAGTTTGCAACAATGCATACAAAAAATTTTTAGTACTCCAATAATCTATGAGAATTGAATTGAATGGGAATTGAAATACCAATTTTCCCGATTAGCTTCGTTTGATATTGAAGGTTTTCTATATTGTCGTTATCTGTCAATGAGGTTGTGCGACAGCGCTTTATGGCCGCTTTATCGCATAAAACCGACAGAATAACGAAAAATATTGTTCGTCACTCGGCCGAAAAGAACTCTTCTGACAAACGTGTTAGTTAAAGTTAAGTCAAACATAAAGTGCAGAACTCACTTTGTCTGATCTGAGGCGCGGAAGTAAACATCATCAGGTGCATCCATCCACGAGATGACTTGCTTACGTGCATTACTTCTTGACATTGGTACCCCATGAGGAAACGTGTGTGGATTCACTGTTCTACCATTCAATGGTGGCGGTAGAGGAACAATCGCCGGTGACACGTGATCCACCGAGTGTTTTGGATGTAACTGCTGAGAATGATGGGCGCGTTTCGCTGGGGGACCATGTAGCCCTGCACTCAGGGCAATGCCTATGACAAAATGACAAGTGACCAATTGAATTTCCATTCTGAGTCAGTAAAGAAGTGATAAAGCAGACGTAGATAAGTTCAAAACAATTTTAAAAACGGAAACATTATAGATAGCGTAAATTACAAAAATATCTTCCCAATGAAGAAAAGATTTTTATCCGTATCAAAGGTTTTTTTCATATCGTTCGGTGAATTCAACAGCTTTGGAAATTATTATAAATTTTTATGAAGAAACAATTTGTTTCCAAGTCCTTTAGAGTTAATGAAAAATGTGTTCGTGATGTATGTATAAAATGTTTAGCAATCATATTACGAAATAATTCCACACAAATTTAGTTTGAGGTTCATACGGTCTATCGAACGCGATCTTTTGTTTAAATTCTTGTTGGTCTTAAATATATTAAAATTTGGGATCCAATTTGTATTACAAAAATATAATGAGAAACAAACAGTGCGACAGACGCTGCATGACCGTTGACGTATAAGTGCTCTCTATATGTTTCTCATATTCTATTTAAATTTCTACCAATTTTATTGGTAGCATGCTTCCAAGTGAATTCCACCGAATTTATCTTCTCACAAGCGGAGTGAAAAATTCGGGAAAATTACCTAACCGTCTGGCAACCATATTGCGTTTCAGCCGTTCTGAAAGAATTACCGCACCGCTTCGTTGAAAACAAATCAGAGAGAGCGTACATCTCTTTGATTGACATAGATATGCCACAATGTGACGAATATTTTGAAAAAGAGAATGAAATCAGTCTTTGAAATACTCAAGAAAATCTCGTTTCAGATCCAAAGTTGAAGGCTTTCTGGAATGAACTTGTGAAATTTCTTCAGATTTCTCGGCCTTCAAACTTTGCATTTTTACATTTCAGACATCATCATCATTCTACATCATTTTCAGGCAAAATTAGAAAATCGAAACGTCGAACGATTCCAATGCATCCAGTCGCAAGTGAAAGAAAAATTATTGAAAAGCACTCAATCACGACAATGATTCAAAGGGATCTATTAAGTTTACAAAAAAATAATAAAAAATACGCAGCTCACCATTGCGTCTAACTCAATCCAATGGGGAGCAATGGTAAGTTGCGCAACTATTTGACTGGTACCCACAATGATGCCAAATTTCAATATATTCTAGGCTAACAAGGTACAATTTAAACAAACGATCGTGTTCGATAGATAGTCCATACGAGAGTTCATTCAATTCTGGCATTAGCTATTCGTAATTACTGAATTATTTCCACAGTCGCTGATTTCACGAAAAAAAAAAATTAAAAAATTAGTCATATTTCTCATATCGGTTTCTTTCCCCTAAGTTGGTGAATATTTTCCAAGGTGAAAATTTTGGAACATATAGATTTCTAATCTTCAGGAACTACTTCCATAAGGCTTGAATTGAATAAATTGGAGAATCAGTGAGAAATCACGTGATAGTGAAATAAAATGCATTAATGGCTTCATGTTCGACTTTACCTTCATCCCAGTCGACATCCGAGTAGAAGCCAATAAACAGAGACCATATTCAGTACAAAAAGTAGCATCAGATTGTGATTGGGAGTGGCCGAGTTTATTTAGTTATGTCTTGAAGTATTGGCATACTTACCATCTGATCCATTGAGCTCCTCTAACGGTGGCCTTGTGCGTTTCAATATTGTTGGTTGGGGTTGAACTAATGCCTGAGCCTGCGGCTGTGGTGGAGTCGGTGGTAATCTATCTACCTCTGGCTTATTTGGCACTCTGTCATATAGCAAACTACCATCTGTAACGGAAAAGTTTATGCATTTCTGTCTATGGCAGACAATGAGGTAAATATCGTGATGATGAAAAAACTAGTCGAATTTGTAAAAGAAAAAAACGAATTATTTCGAATGAAGATTCAGAATGACTTAAGTCGTTGACTTAAGTTTTACCAGCTGGTTATGATGTTATGATCGAATTGCTTGTACGCATTTTTCCAAAATTTGAATGCAGAATGTGGCTGAATTATAATTGGCGATCGAAAGAAATGGATTACTTCCATCATTGCATAATTTGAAGGACTTATCATTGATTATTGCAGTATTAAAGAAGAAAAGAGGAATATTTTTGATAACTTAATAAATTGGGTGTTAGCGGCAAGAATGATTAAATAACATCATTAAGTTTCATCGAGATATGTATATCAAGTCAAAAATTATTTAATTTTAGCTTTTTAGATTAATTGCTAATCGAGATCTGTAATTGGTCAATTTCGACATTTAGAATACATGAAATAGCAAATAAAATAGTTTAGAATGATTATGTATATAGTTTAATTAGTTCAAAAGATAGGAGTACAATCTTGCATTTATTGTGAAAAAATTACTCAAACAAGGAGAGATATTTTACATTTTTACATTCTGTTGGGCGAGGTGCTGAGTGAAGAATTCCGAGTTCTTTTTTTTTAAGATTCCGACCCTTTCTGCCTGTCTTTTTTGATTAATTGGTTCTATCCCACCCTACGCATGTGGCTGTCGATGCTACGCTGAGCCGTATTTACTCTCCTATGGAAACATAGGAGTGATGTGGGAAACAACAGGAAAAACCATGTCGGTACAGACACTCCTGCTCCCGAATCTACAACCCCCGAATCTACAACTTGCAGAACACTAGGCTCGCACCTAGCACAGAGCTATCGACGTCGGTGCTTTCCGAGTACTTTTGAAATCAAAGACCCTAACGAGACTAAGAACAAAGAGGCTACGTTTGAATCTATCAAAGCAGCAGTTGGAGAGGAACACACAAAGTTCTTCAAATGTTAGCGCTATGAGCATTTCGCTATCAAATATAGCGACGAGGTTGGCCGGTAGGAACACTGCACTAAAAGGTCCGGAACAGACCTTGAGGCAGCAAAATGGAAGAAAGAAACTCGATGCGCCATATACGTAGAGGAAGAGCAGAGAAATGACACAGTGAACTGTGCTAATATTGCAGCAACAAGTGCCTTATGAAGAGGGCGGCACTCGAAACGCTAAGTAACAAACGATGATAAAAGTATTACAACCCAACATCAACCACTGGAAGAGCGCACATGATCTGTTTATGCAGACAGTTTAAGATTTGAAATCTGATCTTGCCAGGATCGCAGAGCCCCATTGATATAGTAGTATTGATGTATATTGTTTTGTAGTATCGAAACTGGCTCTATAAACGCAAAGGGTAAGGAATTTAATCCCACAACTACTATGCCCCACTAATTGGGAGATCAGACCAATGGTCAAGAAGACCAATGCAATCAGCTAGAAAACAAATAAAGCAATTGACACCCACTAATCTACTGGTGCAAAAAGCGCATCGTAATCTTGCGAAAGAAGTGCAATGCAATGAGAGGACTGTCTTAGAGTGGAAAATAAATCAAACTTCACGGAGTTAAAAATGCGCTTTAGAGAAGCACGGATAAAGCTGAACGAAACCTAAAGTATGGTAAAAGTTAATCATGGGATGAGCTTTTTATAAAAGTTGAAAATATCCATGGTGCCGACCATACAAGATCGTGATGATGTGACTAAAAGATCCCCACAGGTTTCTGTTCTCGCAACAGTCAAAGGCCTGCCGTATTGGTGAACGCAGAAAGGATATGCTGATCTCTTGAATCACTGAGGAAAAATTTCGAAAGGTGTGTAAGAGTGTATAATACAGAGATGCCTGGGCTGGATGATGTAATAAATGGTCGGCTGAAATTAGCCATTCCATTCTGATAAGATGGGTCAGGGGTTAAAAATGCATTAAACTCATCCAGGTGGAGCCGTATCGAGAAAGCTCTAGTAGAATTGAATGTACCGGATCACCTGCAGGGGTTAGTCGGGGACTACTTCAATAATAAGGTTTAAAAGTTCGATACGGAGTGGGGCCCAGAAGAGCACAAAGTTACTGGAGGTGTACCTCAGGGTTCTGTATTAGATCCTTTCTTGTGAAACATCATGTTCGAAGGACTGCTAGAGCTACATACTATCGCTGGCTCAGTTGACTTGCGAAATTGGTATCCATGCCTCATCACATTAGCCTTGGATGAAGTTATCTCCAAGGCTTTTATTGAAAATTGGCACCTAAAATTGGGATACCAGAACTGGTCCAGTGTAGTGTCAGAATTGGCATCGGAACCGGCATATCGGAGCTGGATAGTCAAGCTCAATCCTTTGATAGGAATGCATTGATCAATGAGCTCCGCCAAATGGCCAAACTAACATCGTACGAATTGTATATTCGTTTCGCAGGAATTTGTTGTGGAAAAATCAGAAAGGGTAAAACGCGGGGCTTATTCCGAATTTACTTATGATGGCCTTAGTAATAATAATGATAGTTATAAATTATGAGGTAAGTGGAAAAACCAGTTAAGTATTATAAGTACTGACATGACGAAAATCTTGCCACAAAGTGCAGGAGTACAATAGATCAGTCTGAACTTTATACCAAGTGCCTATCGACCGACCAAAAAGCCTCTGCGGGCAAAAACGGTAATGCACTTTGTGCACTGAGAAGGGTTATGCCAAGAACTGTGCCTCCACTGATGTAGAGCAGGGCTGGGCAAACTCTGCTCTGAGAGCAAGTCGTGCTCCCGACCTCTATTAGTGCGTAACAAAGGGAGACGAAAGCCCATTGTATCGGGTGATGGGCCTTTATGACCCAGATCGTAAAGGCCCTTCTCCTCCGCTGAGATCAACCGAAGTGGGGGTGACCCTTAAGAAAAGGAAAAGAGGAGAAATGAGACTCAAGTAAAGGAAAAGCAGCGAAATAAGTCGATCAGAAAAATTTCAATTTTTTTTCATGTGTGCATTAAAAAATAATCAGATGCGCGACAAGTTTTACCCTTCCGGAGGATAAATTCTTGCCAGATGCTTCATGGGATACTCCCTACCTTAGTACCTGTGAAGCCCCCACTACTGCCACCACTATGCTAGTACTAAGACCCTTATTATTGAAATGGTTGTAAACTTTATTGGATTTCTAATTCGAGTTTATGGCTCTGCTCCGAGCTACCTGGAGATTGCCCATGCCTGATGTAGAGGGCATTAACAATGCAGGAAAGATGATTTTGATCGTTAGCAATGCATGAAAATTGATTTTCAAAAAGGTAAGTTTGATGACATTTAAACTTTTAGAGGTAACATGCACGATCGAGTCTTGCCGTGGACGAATTCAGTGATTTTTGTTTTAAACTATCGAAGGATGTAATGCGTCACTTTCATGTAGGGATCGCTGGAGACTTCGAGGCCTGGCTCATGAATAAACTGAGAAATTCGAAGAATCATGAATCCGAAGAAGCAATCTTGGAGCGAATATTTGTGCTAAAATAGAGGACGGTGCTTGGATTCGTTACAGTAGTGTTTATTACGGACGACTTGGGACGAGACGAGTGATGTTACAACGTAAATAATGAACGAGTTAAGAAGTGAGGAACATGAGCGCAAAATTATAGAGTAGACGGAAAACCTGTGGGGAGCTTTTACAGATACACCTCTTAGTACTATAGGGGAACTTATATTATTTAAGAAATGAGAAACTGCAAGCAGCTAGGCCCTCCCTGGCGAACGAATACTTAATGATTGTGCCGTGGGGGTTTCACGGACTGACGATAAGACGGAAAAAGAGGATCTAGTTTCTAATATCACTTTACCCAAAGGTGTTGATCCCGGTAAAATTTTGATGTAAACAAATTTAAGCAGATAAATATCTATTTACAAGAGAATCTTAGAACACCAGATAGCTATTTATTAAAAACTAATTGAATCAAATTTGAATCGAATCCAGAGTTAGTTATAAGTAGCGCCAGTGGCTTGTATTTAGAAAAAAGGACCATCACCCCGACACAATTAAAAACGGGCGTATTCCTTAAACGATGTTAGTATTTTCTATATTAAAGCATTTACGATAATTTTGAAATAATTAGCAAGAGAGAAAATGGACCAAATACACTGCTTTTATTCGACAGTTCGAAACACCATCTACGTACTTAGGGAATAATAATTCAAGAAGACCTTCAAAAAGGCAATTTCTAAATTATTGAGTAATCAAGGATATTTCAATCGGGAATAATGAATAATGACAAATGGACATGATTACTACAACATAAATGTAACCTAGGGTCGGAACCGTAACTGTTTCTCAATGTAATGACAATGTAGATACCAAGTAGAGCATCTTCTAAATCAATTATTTTCAATTGATATATTTAAAGCCCTTATATAACAAGCAATTTGACTTGTTGAGAAACTATCTGTATAGATTTGAACGATATTACAATCCATCAAATGTAAAAGATATCAACCAATCTCTACAATTTTTAAAAAGAATAAAGATCAGTATCATACCTGCAGCTTTCAGCGGTTTTGGAAAAGCAACGACATCAGGCTGTTTCCTCATTCCAGGTGCAGTAAGCACTAACCAATCCCACTCGCCAGGTTGTCTGGGTACTGGATGATCTCCCAGTCTCGTCGCAATATCTGTAACTCTGGGGCGAGGCCGAGGTCTCACCGCCTTCGCCAAAATTCTCAACTCAGCTGAACTCTTACTTGTTAACTGTGGAGATGCACAAAGATGCCGCAAAGGTGCAGCATTGACCGGTTGATGAGGAGCCCGGGCAGCATGTCGTGTTCTGAGTTGGGCTGCGCAAAGACGCCTCGCAGCACGGGCCAACGCGGAAGTCCTCAAATAGAATGCAGATCTAGTTTTCATGACAGGTCTAGGTGAGCCACTCCCTCCACCACCAGCTCCACTTCCTCTTAAATCCACACCATGGGCAGAGGCATAATGACGACTGAGATGAGCCTTCAACTTGAATTCCTTGCCACAAGAAGGAATGGAACAACGGTGAGGCCTATGTGCTCCACCCATTCCTTTGCTCTCTTCATCAGAACCTGCACTACCTCGTTTACGTTCTGAGTCTGAATCATCAATCCGAGTCGGCACTTTCAGACCTCCATACTTTTTCCAGTAAGTCCAGCATGACTGACACAGCCGACACTGCATGTGAGATGGACCCCACGCGTACCATTGAGGACTTTCTCTACATTGACAGCTTTCGCAGGGTTTCCCGCCCACTCCAACCTTTAAAATTTAGCATCCCAAATTTTTCATGGTTAGACTCCTTCGTAAGAACAGTATAAGAATCACGACGAAAGAAAGAGCTTTGTTGAAGTAATTTTATCGATAAACGATCAATCATTCGCTTAAACTGCCCTAATATTTGTACGAGAGAATCTCGTCAGGAGGGAGAGTGGCTAACAACGGAACTGAATTTTTTCAGTGTATTACCAACAACGAATTACGTTATAATGACAATGAAAAGCCTTTTGGCTTCGCCCACCTCGCGGAAATAGTAAACTGGTTGCAAACTTTTGTTCAGTTGATAGTAATATAGAATATATATTGATAGTAATATAGAATATACCGAAACTGTTTTACCGGGCTGCCGGATAAATAAAAAGAAAAACTAGATTAGGCAACTGTTTAGTACTCATATTAAGGATTTCGTCAGGTTCCTGAACAGAATGATCATTATATCGCAAAATAATGGATAGAGACAAATAAGAACCGGCAATTAAAGCTTTTTATCGCATGGGCAGTTTTTAACGATAAGGTAGAAGAAGAATTCAGTTAGTATTAATTAATTTATTCATAATGGTAGGGCGAGCGAAAATCCATCTTACGGATTTTTGGGATATTTGTGTAAACTTCACGGGTCTAGAGTAGTGCCGTGGAAAAATCATCATCATGGATAGTTAGGTCTGTACTTGTGCAAGAATAATATCAATTGTAATCGAATGATGAAGGAAATCTGGGCAATTATTGGTAAATATTATCCGGTTCATCAAGGGGTGAAAGCATGAAACGTAATTAATAATAGAAAAACGTTCCCAGTTGAGCCTTGTCTCCCACGATTAAAATTTAATTTTCAATAATATTAACGGCTGTAGGTTGATAGCGAAGATAATGTGGTGAGATGATAGAAGAGAGGTAATGGGATGTATTGCTCAATTTCTTCTTGTGCTTACACCCATATATCTATGTATTATCCACTATCTCTAAGTATACCAACATATGCTCTTTTGGTACCAGACATACCGCCAGGTCCAACTCACAAAGTGGTACAGGTCGGGTTTTAAGACTTAATCTATGTCACAACAGAAACTTAAGAACTGCCAAACGAAGGCAGTTGTTAACATGGTCGATTGATTCTACTCATTATTCGAACGATCGATCATTTTTGAGGAAGTATTTGTATTATTTTCCTATTTGTTTCGAACAATGATATGAGGGTGTCTCATTTAAAAGAGTACATGTGGATAACTTTCGAGAGAACCAAGAGATAACATAATAACATAGTAGGTAGAAAAGTTAAATGGTTGGAAGGGAGCAACTCACTGCTGATGAAATCTACATTCTCACATCTTGTTTTTATGTTGTCACCATGAAGTCATTTTTTTACAATGGCAACAATATTGTCGACCTCGCGAAAATTATAGCTCTTGACTAGACGAATTCAACCACACCATATTTTATGATGACGCCATCGATTTATCGTGGAAACTCGGACGAAAGGGGAACGTGTTGAGAAGTGTACCAGAGGGCGAACCGAATGTATAAGCCTAGAATTGACCTACTTACTTAGAAATGCCTGTTAGAGATGCAATTTTGGGCATTCCCTGTCACGTTCTGCGGATTGCAGTTTACTATTTTTCACGCCGACTGGAGTGATGCTTTGTTGTTATTGGTAATGTCGCCAACACAATAAAGTATTTGTGACATGTAGAGTAGAATGTGATAGGAAGATTCAATAAAAAAAATGTCCATCTCGGTCGATTTTCTATTTAAAAATATTATTGCCATTGAAGAAAAATGGCTTACAATATGAAAATATAAAATCTGAGACTGGTGATTTCATCCCATTTGAACCATTCAACTTTTATATAAACTATTTCATTGTCTCTTGCTTTGATCAGAAGTGATTGAGTTGTATTGTTCCAAATGGAACACACGATATACGGAAGAGATTGAAAATCAATGTTGAGCAACTGAATATAGAAAAATATGATTAGATATTGAAGAACATTAAATTAATAACGATTGATTCCTGTCCTAAATACTTGACCACGTTATATTTTATTGATTTTAATATATTTTACTATGACGATCATTTTTTGAATTTTAATGCATCGCGATTCATTCATTGAAGAGAATCCTATAAGTAGACAATACGAATATGCCGATAAGAAGAGATACAAAAGCGTATTATCATGCCGCGAAAACTGCGATGTTTGGGGGATTGAATCTCTACAAACCATTAACATTCCACTTGTGTCAGTAATGTTGCCATTACTACTGCCATTAAGGATGCTGACTCCTTTGCCGTTGGTACTGTTGTTGCCTAAAGGCATTATAGTTGCTCCACCTGTCGGAGCAGTTGGAGGTGTTTTATTGTAGTTTGGGATGTATACTTGTTTCAACTTGCTTTCCGCTTCAACTGCTTTCACTCGTTTTTGCTGGACATAACGATCTGTGGTTTTCCACATATAATAGTACTCAATGACGTTCTTTAGTGTCTTCCATGGAAGAAAATCTTGACGTATGTCTGAGAAATCTTTCCCGTATTTGTCCAGAGCTTCTTCAAAAAGATTTGCTTCTGAAGCGCTCCATTCCTCCATTTCGTCTCTACAAAGGACTGGACCAGAGAGTGGGACCAGTGAGGACATGGCCCTAGCAAGATCGTAATTATGTCGATGGAGAGTGTCCATTGCGTGAAATAAAGTGATGTCTCTCGAAGCTGCCGCTGCTGACATGTGCAGGGACGGCTGTTTCACAGAAGAGGAACAATCTAGGGCCCGAGCGAAAGTTCCCACTGATCTGGAAACAACCAGGAATTGGTCAATCTGACGATCTGTGAGAGAGTGTCGAGGAGTCCAAACGAGTGTTTCTAAGTCTTGAAGGCGACGGGGATCAGCTTCGCGCTCAGATTGGGTTAGAGGAACTGTCGCAATCCCATCTGCTTGATATCGACTGCCTACGCGAATTTCACCTGAAAGCATTTACAAATGTTTATTTTAGTTTTTAAAGAATCACAGTAGAGATTTTATTTCCGACTGGTTATCAATATAAAAAGTTGCCAATCCATTCGATTTTGTCACATTACGTTTTCAACTTTTTGAATGGTTGAAAAATGAAGCGAGTGAAGTCCAACGAATATGATCATTTTGTAATTTCATAAAAGAAAGAACAAATTGTCTCGGTAAAAATTGCAACATAATGTTGATTGTAATTAAAAGATGGGAAATACTGTGTTTAGTTAGTATATTTTCAACTAAATGTTGAACACTTTAAACGCATTAGGTTCTGTACGATACACCCTAGGAACCGATCACACTTCTCTGTCTGTATATGCAAATCCATCGTCTCGACATTCGAAATATTACCTCAAATTTTCACACATATTCCTATATTCTTTGTTGCAAAGTATAGTTCAAAAATTAAAAAGCACACACGAAGAAAATTGAATGATAGACATTACTATAATGTAGGATATTTTACCCTAAAAATATGATAAATTATTTTTTTTTGTCAATGAGAAAATTCCCACTTTGAAAAAATATATGCAAATTATCAAAGATAAGAAAAAAAACAGAAATTAGACAGTTGAAATAAAAAAACAAGAATGATCAGTAATTATTCAATATCCCGCCACTTATAAGGATTGTTCCAACGGATTAATCTTTTTAGTTGAAGGATATCCAATATATAATCAGACATAATAAAAATAGTTCTCAATACAGCGTGTGCGTGTACATATATACATAGAAGAGGGGAGGTTTTCTAGCTTTCCATATTTTTGTGACGTCAAAGGAGTGAGAGAGAGAGAGATTTGGATTAGGTAGGAAGGGGAACAGGATAATTCTCGATATAATTTTTACATGAAAAATTACTGAAAAAATGAGACCGGTACTTGAACCGGGGATCTTCCTTCATTGTATTCCGCACGAGAAAATCTAATTATCGGCACTAATTTACATGCACATATCGAATTTTCACCGGATTTCAACAATAATTGTTCATTAGATCAGAGGCCGGCAAACTCAGGTGTGCGCAGAGCTGTAGCCATGATATTATTAAGGTTTCAATTATAAGAGACCTAACGTGATTAGAAGGGTTATCGTACATTTGTGTGGTGGGGGTAACATCGGGCCATGGCGCATGCGCGTGATTCAAATGCGAGGGCAAAATAGTTTGAATTTTTATGCACGTGTTGGGACATTTTCTCTACGATTAAAAAAAATTAAATTAGAAGATGATGATTTAGATTCAACATTCATCGATGGAAATGAAAGTGGGATGCTCGTGAACTTGAGAAAAAAAATTTAATCGTCAATTAAAAATTAAAGGACGCCGATAATTTCTTTGATTGCGAGAAATTTGTGAATTTTAATTTGGCATCGAGAGTTTGAATCGAGAGAAAAGTTTGAAAATGCATTTCAAGTCAGATCTATTAACAACATGCTAATATTTAATAACTGTTTTCCAACCAATATTCCCACTTCAAGAAATCTATGAAAGGTACGATTTTTTTTTATAAAGTCGATTAAAAGCAACCAATAACCAATCAAAAGCATAATAACAAAAAAAGCGATAATTGAAAAAATATTTCCATTATAGAAATAGAAAATTTTTCTATTTCCCTTTTCCTACCACCAAGTTTCTGCCGAATATGCCCACTACTTTGGTCTACGCGCAGGGCATCATGGGCCCGAAAGGAGTGCAGCCATAAACTTTATGGCGTGTGGCAATTTTACCTAATGGAAGTCGGGGGCTGCAGATATAATGATGGATTATCCACGGTCTGTATACCGTCATTTTTTTTGACCATTTCATTTCTGTCAATAACTAAATCGGATCCTATCGCAAGTAGACCAGAACCACCGATATCGAGTAAAGGTCGGCGCTTCGCGCCAAACAAATTAGCTATAGCGCAGCAGAAATTCTAAAAGCTTATGAAGCTGGTTGTCGCTCATCGTTCAATGAGCTTCTCGCCTTCTCCACCATACGTGTTATCCGAAAAGTGCCAATCTCCTGTCGCGCTGGATTACGTCTGTCAAACAGCAATAAGAACGCTGTTTGGTTTATTCAAATTTCCCTTCATGATGTCTGTATTTCGAAATGCCGCGTAGGCATTTCAAAGATTTATCGATGAAGTAACACGCAATTCAGAATGCGTTTTCCGTATATTGAGAATATCATAGTCACCTCCAATATGTTCATTTGATGTTAACACATGACTCGAATCTGTGAGAACTCTGCATGGAGACTTTGACATTTATCACAATTGATAATTAGGATTGAAGACAGGCCGCTTCTTTTCTCGAAAATAACATTCTTAAAACATAATGTTTTATTGCACTTTAACTTTGGATTTCTTACTGAGAGTTTCAAAATCCAGAAAACTACGACCGTTGACATCGCAGAGATTAGCTCCAAGTTCTGCTGAATTGTTAATCCCTTCGTACCATATTTTCCTACGTTGTCGGCTATTTTGTTTTAACTTCGTTTATCTCAACTCAATCCGGGTGCCCTTGCTCTGTTGTATTCAAGTAACCAGAAGATAGACCAACATTAACGCACATCAACACATCTATAGCACATACCAGTTCTGCAATGGACGCAAAATATAAATTTTTGAATGTGTCTAATGCCTGAACATCCTCAATTCGTAAAACTGTTGTTCGGCATAAATCAATTGTTAAATTAAACATTTAAAACATTCCACTCAACGAGTTCGCATCCATATCCGAAACACGTTGCATAGTGTGAGTACATGCCAAATGGCCAGATCAGTGGAGCCCCTCGGATTCAAATCATTTAAGACGGTCACTGGGCAAATTGCGGGATTTCCAATTCAATTTTTTTTATTCATTTGTTCAAAAATTTATACTTTTCAATATTTCGAAGGATATCTTAATGTATAACGGACAAACTTATAGACGGTTATAAATATGAATAAGCGCTTTAATACTACCAAAAATGAGATTAAAGATCTGAGGACGCTACTCTGATAGAAATCTTGCGTTAAGATCTATTTTTCAGAGTTTTTTTTTATAAAAAGTTCGGAGACTTGGTTTAAAATTTGCGCTAAAAAAAGACGTTTGGTGCCCCTACATAAGCGATAGAAAAGAATTTTTCCAAAAAAAATTAATAATACTTCAATATCCTCAAGCGCACTCAGTTGAGGCCAGAGCTAAAGCCTCATGCACCGTTTTCAGCTCCGTATCGTAGGATGAAAACATTATGAAACGGCGGATATATTGGAGTTTAGTTATAAGGTAGTTAGTTAGAGGAAAATGTGATTAGGGAATCAAGCGAGGGCACCGCGTAGGTACTAGGAACCGTTGGTGGAAGACCTATTAAGGTCAGACCATCGGGCATCACCAAAGTTATTATTATATCTACAATTATAATAATTACTTCGACAGGGAGACAATGTTGTTGTTAAGGGAACAATTTTGCGCGGTTGTCTTCAGCTAAAACTTATTATTTCGCTCCCGCTTGGAGGCGCTTCTGAGCATAAAAATGGTCCCTGAAGAGGGATAACGATCACGTGAATGGTTAAATTAAAATTTCACAGTTCAGAATCGCCTCCAAATGGGAGCCAAATAATAAGTTTTAGGTCATGAAAAACCAGTAAAATTATGAGATTCCAGGCATTAGCACTATTCACAAGATGATTTCTTGTTATCCAAACAGGGAGCATCCCCAGCCTTAGAGGGTCCACTTCATTTGACACGCAAATTTTCTATGAACAACAGTTCTCCACCGTCAAAGACCCTCAAGAAGTTATGGACCGTGAACATTAGGGGGTGATATGCCATCGTCCCGTCTTCTTCTCAAAAACTTTTCCCGCACCTGGTAATGAAGGGGGTGACACCGAGGTAGATGGTATTCCCTCCAGAAGTATCCTTTCTGAACACGTTGCCGACCTAATGAAGATACCTCCCTCCATATGTTAGAAGCGTTGGACAACAAAAAATCAAAACGCTAACAGTCATAGGGGAATACGTCAGAAAAGTATATAAAGGGCGGTTTTCACCAAATCAAATCAGCCTCAATTAAATCTTCGGCTCCTGATATTCAAAGTGGTACCCTCCTCGTCGTTCCGCTGGCTCTTCAAGATCCGGCTACAAGGAAACAGCTCTGCGCGACCACCTTCTATTGCTACGACTGACGTCTAGTCCGAGTAGACAGCTCGACTCTTTTTATCACATCAGAACGTCTGGACTATTTCAAACGGAGCCAGGCAGTCTAATTCAAATCTTCGACTCTTGATCTTCAAAGTGGTACCCTACTCGTCCAGTCGTCTCCAAGAAGTCTACTTTGTGGGATCACCCTCGGTTGCTGCGACTGACTGTAGTCTGAGTGTACACTTCGACTGTTGTGGTTACGCCAGCCTGTCTTCATTATTTCAACAAAACCTAGCAACCTAAATAAATTCAAGGTGGTACCGTGCTAATTCGCTTGATTCTCCAAGATCCGTCATGGACGAAGCAGTTTTATGGGAGCACTCTCTTCTGCGACGAGGAATTTCTCGTCTGAGCGGACAACTCGATTCTTCTCGTTACGTGAGATCGTCGATCTTCATTCAGCTGAATTCGGCCCATCACCGGCACCTTTTTTTGTGAGCGGTATTCTGCCTATTGTTTAATCGATTTTTTAGCTCTTGTTGTGACCGGCTTCTACCTTGAGTGGACAGCTCAGGTTTTTCTTCGCCAATCAACGCCGACCTGGTCAATTGCTTAGCGGACGGATGGTCTCGCCCACGCTTCTGACGTCAAAAGAGGGAGAATCACGTGGCCCACGAGTGCCCCACGTTACTGACGTGGTGAAAACTTTTGCTTCCGGATGGAAACATCAAAAAGCGCCCTCAGGGATTGAGCGAGGTAGGGTCGTGAATGTCACCCCAAAAGTGGAAGTAGTTCTGGGGTATTATGAAGAGAGTTGAGAAAAATAAGGAACGAGATCCCTGGAAAATCAGACGAAGGTTGAACTTAAGAGTTCAAGAGTTTCGCGTTTAGAGTTGAATATATTGTAAATGTCTAGTTCAGGCCCACCAAAATATTCTGGACGTTGTATATTTAAGAGTATGGCTTTCCGCCACATAATTCACACTTTTTGAATACCGCCGTTTTTATATCATATATAGACCTTTCCATGATCTACGGTATTCTTGAAAAATCTAAGAAAAATCAAAAAAAGAAATTTTTGGGAAAAAATCGGCATTTGATAAACGTGACCGCTACCCTTCCGTAGCAATTCAGATTATTGTATTTAATATCACTCATAGCGTTAATAGTGACAGCAGGGAGGGAGCTTTAGGGAATTTCGGGACAATGGAGTTTACTTCAGAATTATTCTTCGACATGTTTTTATCCTTTTTGTATTTCCTTCTCTTCTGTATTTCTATGTGAGAGGGATACGACTTGATTTTACTCAGAGATATTTTACTCATTAATATTTCAATGGCTATTGGTTTTGGTGGAGCGAAACTATATATTTTCCATTTAAGGATGTTTTGCTGGTATTTCATTATTTTTCCTGCTTTTCTGAGATTTACTGAAAACTATCGATCGGATTGGAATATGAAAACATAGCGTTTGTCCGTTCCATCATGATTGACTCTTTCATAAAGTTTCATCCCGATACATTAATTTTTGTAACTTTTCACTAAAATTTAATAAAAAAATCAATAAATTTTAGTGAAAAGTTATAAAAATTGGTGTAGCGGGATGAAATTTTGGGAAAGGATAGATCATGATGTAACGGACAAACGCTATATTTTCATATCCCGATTCGATTGACAGTTTTCAATAAATCTCAGAAAAATAGGAAAAATAACAAAATACCGGCGGAACATCCTTCATCTTAGATATAAAGGCTTACATAGGTTTCCTGAGCGAAAAAATGGCACATTTTTATCGTAAAAAAAACTATAATAAACGCAATATTTACTTGAAATTGTGTTCTCTTATCTCAAAGATACACATTTGAGCAAAGGTTTCTGAAATTTTTTTTTAAAAATCCTGAAAATTCAGCCATGGAGACATCATTTTCAATGACTCCGTCGACAAAAAGATACTCTCGCGTTAGCAGCAGAACTCACGACAGGATCATTCGAAACTAACAAAACAATTGCGGCTTTCCAGTAATACTTTGAATTATTTTTTAAACGAAAGAAACAATAAAAATAAACTAATTGGACTTTTAGCAGACCTTTTTGGGAAAAATGCCAAATTTCGATGGAATTTTCAACCCATTTTGTATCTTTAAAAATTGTTGCAAAAAAATCCTTCGTTCAAAAAGTAGACAATAGTATCTCGAAGACGTGTGGAAAATTTTATTAAGAACGGTTCGGTGGTGTTCGAGACACATCAACTTGAAAAACAGTTTCAAAAAAAAAACGCGTTTAAAGTTTTGAGGCTCTATCTCTGAAACTTTTACTCCAATCGATTTTAAACTTTTTAACGATATTCTAACAATGTTGTAGAACTTAAGAAACCGCTTTTGTCAAAGTGCGAAACCCATGTAACCTTTTAATTTTCGGATGAAGATTCGAAACTCTTTGGAGAGGTGCATTTCATGATAACTGCCGAACGAGTTTAATGAAGCTCTATATTTTTTCTTGAAAAAAAAATACACGAAACCTGGACCATCGGAGAAGGGTCATTAGTTTTAGTCACTGGGAAAGCAAGCATTATGAAGAGTACGTACATAGATGTTCTTCGTTCGGCACACACAATTTCAAATCCAATTGACAGAAACCGCGTCAATACATAAGGGATCATCTCACTCAGATCATGTTTCAGTTCCCTGGTAGCGCTGATCATTCACTGCTCCAAACAAAAGAAATTAGTCGATCTCAGCATGCAGCTCATACTGAAGCGCAGAGCCGAACCCTACGTCCTGTTCAATCTCAAGGAGAACGGTGATGATGGTCACCTACACTCATTCGAAAGACTCTGCTTCAACAGGGTCACTAACTCGATTCAGAATGAAATGAAGATTAACCGCTCAGTAAGCTGCCTCATTTTCACTTTTACATTTCCACTCTACAATTCTTTCAAGTACCAAGATAACACTTTTTATTATACATTTGGTGACCAGTTCATCGGGGTTGCTTAGTTATTAGCAAATGGCAAAAAATCTATACGATCTGAGAAACATTCACGCGTCACATTGGGCTCATGGAAGCCAATACCGTCTGACTTCTTTATACCCTTAATTTAATCAATATTCTCATTAATGCTAATTTATACTGAGTAAACTTGGAATTATCATTGAGAGATTGAATTGACAGAAGGTCTAGAGCCAAGTCAAACGGCGACAGCTAACATAGAAGTCACAAAACTACATAACAATGATCTATTAGTTTGATTCTGGATTTCTGGAAAGATTTCTGAAACCCCATAAGTTCAGCGTACTAATCAATAAGCTCACGAGCACTTTGAAGCTATTTACTTACGGAATCAAATAATCCGCAGCCTTGCTAGCGAATTGACGATCGCTTGGTTTAGCTTCCCCGATCCTCTTAGGATTGAATTTAGGCACTTCATATCTAAACATAATATGGAATAGGATCAAGAGTATAAGGATGCAAAATAGAAACCTGTTCCAAAACTGACAGAGTTCTTCTGAACAGAATTAGATCGAATACTGAGTTAGGTTCAAATAAACTGGTAATTTCCTCTCCAACGGTTCGTTGACTTCGTTCGAACTTCTACATAATAAGGTGTTATATATTAATATATAGTAGTGTGTGAGTCCGACAGTCGTGCAAGCTAAGCAATGTGGAGGGGTTAGCACTTGGATGGGTGTCCGCTTAGTTACACCTGTGTGGGGACTGGCGTTAGGCAAGGATGTAACGAACTGCTGTGTTCACCGAGTCAGAGTGACTGATAAACACAGCAAAGTTTCCGCATTACCGGCCGGTTGCACTACTGAGGTTTTCCAGTTTCCCTCAGTAAAAGCCAAATGGGCACAGTTGAAAACGACGGTGCATGGAACCGCAAAAACAGCAAAGAAGGAGGAGGGTGGTAAAAAGAAGCTTAAGATTATTGGACCAGAAGCGCCTATAAAACCGGTATGATAATAGGAAAGAAAAATATATCTAAAAAAATCGATCTATATTCCCTTCTCTTAATCTGCTTCACCCCCCGCCTTATTTATTGATCTTTATCAAAACAGTACATCTTCCTCACATCCTTTCATTTTACGTTGAATATTTACATTCTAGTTTACGAAACATTAATTATCAACATTCGACAGTTATCATATGGGGATAAAACTGAACAAATGTGATATCGACTAAAGTCTTTCAAGACACTGCTTACTTGACGCACCCAATAGACAACTTAGGCTTATCGGGCTTATCGGGCTCAGGCGACTCCCGAAGTTCGCTAGGAAGTGCTGGGGAAGGGGCCTCATCAACTCAAAGAAACTACCGGCTCTAATTCGATTTTTCTCTCTCCTTGAGCCCTAGTTCGACCGATATCGACAGAGAGCGACCGTGAGATCGAGCAGCAATTTTCAACTTTTCATAAATTTGACTTATAAATTTCAATTTTTCACTCAAAATAGGCAGCAATATTGGAAAAAAAATTTTTTCATGCTTTCATGATGAGAAGTCACCCGTCACAATGTTTTTCTCTTCAGACGATATTTGCCGGAATTCAATAAATAAAATACTGTACAAATTCGATTTGACTTGTAAAATAATTCGATTTTGTCTCATAAATTTAGTGTAAGAATTGTTAAAGAGCATCGACTAAGCGCGCAATAAAGAACTTCTGGTATCTCCGGTTTTTCCCGAACAACTCGATTTGCTGGTTATGTGAATCCATAGAACGACAGGGATTGCGGTTATGTCTCCTAGTGTACGGGACCAATACCACAAATTTTGAAACCCTGTTTTTAGTAACTCAAATCCCCATGTAAATTACAGGGCAAAGAGAGTGAGCTACATCTATTTTTTGTCAAATATAAAGTATTTATAATCATTAGAAAATGGCATCCAAGATCAATGATACAAAATAATTTAATACAATATAATTATCCACTGGAGCAACATGAATGTCGTAATTTATAACTGAATAAAATCGTGGTGACGCAATTAATAGTTTTGAAAAATATTTCACGCGCCTTGTATTGCATAATGCTGTTCTTAACTAGCGATTGACACATGAGGCGCGAGGTTACAATGAATAGGTAAATTACCTTTATCAGCAAGGAGTGTCCGCTGTGCCGGATCAAAGACGAGGCAGTAAAAGAATGAATCATCTTTGTTCAAATAACTGAGAAGTGACTCTGTTTCATTGAGGAGGGTAACACAGCATTTCCCCCTGATGTGGGTGGCGGGCATAGTTTCGACTTGACGAGAGAGAAAAAGCTCTCGATGTTTCATCTGATGTCGTTGCTTTGTACTTAATTCGGCAACGCCACCTGCACCTGCAACGCCTTCCTCCATCCCTATTCAACACAGTTATAAAAATAGTTAATAATTCATTCACAATGTATTATTTTACATGCACCATCACATGCTCCGGAACAAAATTATTTAAAATTAATGAATTGTATAATTAAAAATAATTGAATATACTTTCTAAATCAGATAGAAATAAAAATTTTATAAATGAAATTATGTAATTATGTTTTTTAGCCTTCAGTCGCGCCTCCAATTTCTAATGTTTATTAATCATGCAGCTGTAATGCATGAATGAAAAACGTATTCAACTAAATATTATTAGAAAATCAACTAGCAAGAACGGACAACGTACGAACGTAGGATACACAGAAAACCATTTTCTACTATTTTCATTGAGATGGTCAAAGCTGTAATATCTATGTAATTAAGGTATACTCATAATAATGCAATTATGTCAAGAAATGAATAATCCAAGAAATTTCGCTGTGCTGTAGAAAAAATTGACAATATAGAGTGAAAGATAGTCGTTTATACGTTAGCTGAGGACAGAAAGACAGTGGTTCTCATGCTGAATGGCAATTTTGATGAAAAAGAATTGTGTCGAAGGTTGATAAAGGGTGAGAAAGCTTAACAAAAATAAGATTGCTGAGGGTAAGAAAGGAATAGAAATCAACCAATAGTTTATTTACAATTATTGATGTATAATGACGGATATATATTGTGGTGTGCAACACCTTCCAAAGACCTGCTTCGAATTTTGTCAACCTTCAAAAATTCAAAAATGACAATCACTCAATTATCATTAATTAATTCTCTTGATTATGAAAAAAATGAATAATTACTCTCCTCAACGTGACAACAGTAACGGAATTGAGCATGCTTCCTACAGACCGCCATCGAATTTGGTCAGCTTCCATAAATCGTGAAATCGTAACTAATAGATTATTATTAACTGTTCATTTTTGAATCATTATTAGTAATTTTTTTAATAATGAAGCGAATTTATTGATTATTAATCATTTATTGATCATGTTTTTTTGATTTTTGAGAGTCGAAAAAACTCCAGAGAGGTGTCTGGGAGGTATTCCCAATTTTTCCAACTTCTTTGTCACCTTTAGGAAAATAGATATTCACTTGTAACAGCCAACTCCAATTTTTACACATCATTATTAATAATTATACGTGACCTATTGGTTAATCATTTGTTCTTTTGTACCCTGAACAATTAGTTTTGTCAATTTTTGTCACCCTTCCTCAGCAATCAAAGGAATTGTTTACGGCCAAAATTCAGTTCAACTTCAGAGTCAGTTCTTTTCTCTCCTCGGCTAATCTATAATCGTGGACTCCATTTACTTCCTAATCCTCTTCTACCCACAGGAAAAATGTACATACGGTCATTACAAGATTCACAAAGAAAACACTAACCTTAAAATAGGAAATTTGAAACGCAAATTACGATTTTTATGGTGTACATTACCATATCATATCCCATCTTAATCTAAATTATGGTTTTGGATCTTGTAAATTACAAGTATAAGGTTGCAAAAACGAGGTTCGACCCCCTAATTTACACTTCCCTTCCCGTTATTGACGATATCAATCTGGTAAAATCCCAGATTGCGATCGTAAATCCAACGATGCATATACACCATTGTTCTATGCGGTATAAAATCTTGACGTTTTTGAAGATTCTGAGTTATCTGAACATGGCTTTCAAAGACATTTTTTCAAAATTTGTCCAAGGGAATTTGGAATATTTAAAAATTGTTAATAAACTAACAATTATTGAAGATTTGGGAAACATCGGAGAAACCAAGGAAGGTTACAAATTTTGGCTACAGAGTCGGGAGGCGGCCAAATGCGGAATATTCAACGGAACGTTCAAATATTGAACATTTAAAAACAAAATAAAAATTTGGGAAACATTGCGGCACTCTGGAAGATGGCGCATCATCAGACAAATGTGGATTTTTTGAACTTCCAACATTTCCTGCGAAAAGTGTGAAACAATGTCTTTGAAATTTATGTTCAGATGACTCGGAATCTTCTGAAACATAACGATTTGATATCGCATAAAAAAGTTTTTCCGTCATACCTACACGGAAGTTCGACTTTACCCACCAAATAACGGGACGAAAGATATTCTATCTATATAAAACTATTCTATCCTTCAGATTTCTGTTGTTTTTGAGGATTCTCAAGATGACGTCATTCCAAAAGAAAAATCGAACCTTTCCATATAGTGATGACGGAAAGAACAATGTGCATCGAGGAACGGAAACAGAACCTTCGAACCCGTGTGTTTACCACTTTCCGCTTCACCGCAGGTCAGTGATACCCACGCGGGTTAGGATGCTCAGTTTTCCTCCCTTGATGGACAATATACTATTTTCATATCCATCGATGCATTTATAATCTCAATCTGGGCTTTCAGCATATTGAGATTGTAAATGACAGGAAGGGAAGGATGAATTACGGGGTCGGATCTTGTATTCTATGTCCTAAACTCGTAATTTACAAGATAAAATTGGTAATTTACTAGGTGGCTACTTGTAACTTATAATATCTGAACCGTAATTTATGTGATTAACATTGTAATTTATGATATAAAAATTGAAATTTACATTTTGATCTCGTATTATAGAGTTGGTGCTTTCTGTGTGGTGGAAATAGATGCAAATTGTTCACGCGATACAAGAATAATGATTAAGAACAAGTTTCCGATCGACGGCTTGATGATTAATTGTGCTAAATCAGATGTTCAGTATACCGAGGATGAAATGTATTACGTCAAATTGAAAATTCCACTAATATCTTTGATCGTAGCTACTCAAAATTGTCACCACATATCAATTCTATCCAGTGTAAATTCACCGAAATTGAATTACGATCAAAATAACCGGGTTATATCATTAAGTGAAGCTATCAATCGATAGGAACGAATCGCAACTCGTTTTGTACAGATGATAGCCACATTTATGATGCTGGATAGAATGTTTGATTATGATGGATGATTTGATCCGATAATTTAGTTCATATGTCGATAAAGTTAACGTTCGATGGGGTTCTTAAGAGTCAGAATCTACGAATAGTCATGATCAAAGGTATAATCAAACGAATTGCCTGGAGGGAATTTACAGATTTTTAGCAATGTTGATACCTCCTGACTTCAAAAGCCAGAATTCCTGCCGGTATCGTCCCAATAACAATAATCATAGCAATAACAATAGCAACCATTATGATAACAATAAGAAAAATAATAAAAGGGCATACCCAGGATTATTGCGTTCTAGCAATCAATTTTGACCAATAGTAAAATTGTGAATAACCTAAAATGCATTTCCTGTGACAAATTAAGAAATTCAGGGATTTTTACGTAGTCAAATCTCCTTAATCACCTGAATTTTTTTATTTTCATTGAAAGAAATCGAATGAATGATTTCAATACAAACGCCTCAGATTACTAAAGAATCTCCATTGGATGCAGTCAAATTTAAGTTGAAACTTGCTTTAAATACTACATGCTGTAGTATAAACGCCGCGTTCTAGCTGAAATTGGTTAGTTTAATCTCGACTAGAATCAAGCATCTATACATCAGCACATTTTAGGGAAAACAAAGTGTTCAGCCATTCATTGAACGCCTGACACGAAACTCGCAGTATCAGGCACCCAACAACGGCAAAGTTTATGTCTCTTTGGCCTTACAATGAATTACACTCAAACTATTAGCATTCATCAAGATTACAAAGAATTTATTAATACAACTGCTGATTCAGAAGCCTTATATCATCATTGACGTCGTATTAGAGATCAATACTAAAAGATTGGAAGCCGTTCAGTATCTGTTGATTGGGAAATCGCTGACGGCGAGCACAAGTATGAGGAAAACTATTTGGCTGAATAATCAAAAATACACGAAATATATGTTGATTTTACAAAACCCATTCTACAAACCACTTCTATTATTAACATAATTGCTTGAACTGGATCGAATTTAGCCGCTTCATTAATGAGGATTGAGTCATAAGAATAAACAAAGTATTATGTAAGCCTTGATTTATCCCAAACTTTGGCTATGAGGATGAGGATTATTTACTTATTACTCTGTCATGAAAGCCAGGAGAAAGTTGAGAAAACTTCTATACTAATGTAATCTTAATGTTTCTTTCAACGTTTCCGAGATTTTTAAACATTTATGCAAAAACAAACTTCATCAGCAAAGCATTTTCCGGAAAAAGGAGATCTGTGAATACTTGGACAAAATTGATTTTTTACGCATGATAAAAGAAACAGCTTTTGGCAAGGAATGTATAACATTATAAAATGGCAATGATGGAAAATATATGTATGGAAATTGGATTCACACTACCATCACCTCAAGGGAAGCGAAAATTGGACGTTTATCGACAAAAGACTGGACCTTTTTTTTTATCATTTTTTGGTCACTCACCATGGGGCTCGTGGGCCTCCGACAGTGGGGCTTTGAGCCATCCACCTTTCCCAGCCCCTTTGCTCATCATTTTCGGACCAATCCCATCTTTACTAGTCATATCCTTAGTCGAATCTTGATTCTCGATTTTCTGACTCTGCGTGCTTGCAGGAGATTCTGACCTCTGCTGCTCCACGCTTGCCACTGCAAATTTTTTTGGAAAAACATACCCGCTTTGCTTATTTTGTTGATTTAAGATTATCTTCGTTTGGTATTGATTTAAATTTTTCATTCAATTCTAATAGTTTCTTATATGGGGCATCCATTCAATGCTTCATTTTTAGATTGATTTGATTAGCAATGAATAAAATCAACAGTAGCCGGCTGAATGAACATGCTTGTCGGATTATAGATTTCTCGGCAAGGATTATAGGTTCAAATCTCAATTTTACAGTTAAACATTGTTCAACTGCAAAGTCGGAAATCAAGTAATAGGAACTCAGTCACTGAGAATTATGAAGAAATACTTTCAAAATTTTGTCATTACGTTACTTGACCGATGAATGTCTGGTCTACTGTCCTTTTCTATTGTTCCGTCGCGAAGAAATATATATCCGAATAATTATATATAACACACGGCATTTTTCGCGGACACAGCTCACATATATGATAGAATATGTGAGGATAATATATACGTGCAGTAAAGTGATATTGTTCTATGGAGGTTGAAAATGTTTGTTACTTTCGTTCTACTTCCCTAAAGTCCAATATAAAACCGGATAAAATTCAAACAATGGGGGGCAGGTAATTCTTAACCGAAAGTACCGAGCCGCATAATTCGGAACGCTAATCTAAATTACCCAATAGCTAAATTGAAAAATTTGAAATCGAAAAATCGAAGGGGATCGAGAAGAGAACTGAGAGAGAGAGAGAGAGAGAGAGAGAGAGAGAGAGAGAGAGAGAGAGAGAGAGAGAGAGAAAAATAGGAAAACAAATTTACTCGGGGCATTTTTTATCATTACCCACGTAAGTGTGGGTAGTAGAAGCCGACTGATATATGACAACAGCGCGTGAGAGACGGCGGGAAATGAGAGACGTACTTGAGTACCACTGCTCTGCCGTGAATTTAGAGCATTATTCCATTATTAGTGATGAAAAACACTTATTATTTTACCGATGTTGAGGCTCGAACCTCTGAGGTTCCTATTACCAATTCCATGTCCGGTTCACTAGGCTACCCTGATCTTACGATGAAGTCAACTCCATTTCGCCTATATAATCTCTGTCGGGGTTTTCGCTAACTTTGTAATTATTCCCGGCTGTGCGTATACTTTAAGAGATTTTTTTTGGTTAGAACTCACTTCCGCTGATGAAAAATGATTTAAAAAATAATACAATACTAATGAACAAATCGCAGTTAGAGCACCACTTTCCTCGTCAAAATAATATACTTGCAAGTTTAATACGTCTACACATATTAGCACAAAACACTTGAATAAAGTGTATTATATACTTTGTACATAATGGTATCATTGTACTGCACTTGTCGGAACCCGGACGACTGGATCCAAACTTAATCAGATTCTCATCAGGAATCATCTGACCAAACTCAGCTCAGACTGATTGAATGAGAACCTGATCTAGTTCTACATGGACTATTTCTGTTTCGATGAACTGGATCAAAACATGATGAGTTTCTCATCAAGAATGGGGTGATCAGACTAATATCAAGCTGATCAGGTGAAGCCCTGATCATAATCTATCCTACGTAATTCGGATGAGAGTAACTTGCTCAAAACTTGATCTGTTTCTCATGAGGCAATGTCTGATCAAAAATGCCTGATCAAAAATACTGATCCAGCTTCGGGGTGACCTACTGAGGCAATTTCCACTCAGGACTGAGTAAGCCTATAGGCCGATGAGTAACACATAGGCCAGCGCTTGGCCAAGAGTTGATTTTTGAAGACTTAGGAGAACATCACTGGCCCAATGTTATGTCAGGCAATGGCAAACCAAAAATGGTGCAGTATTTTTCAGCGAACACTTAGCCCAGTGTCGATTGCCTGAAAGTTAGTTGATCCAGTCACAATATGCCTGGTTAGTCATTACTAGACCGTGACAAAAAATCATTCGGGGAAAAACAAAAATCCCAAAATGCATTAATTTGGATAATTAAAAACTGGCAAGGTGGCAGGCGTAGTATAGTTCCGTGAATGACCACTGAAACGTTCAGCTGCTGTGGTCGTCATTTCGGAACACTCCACATCAGGCATGGGCAACCTCTGCTCTGAAAGCAAGCCGTGCTCCCAACCTCTAGTAGTGCGTATCAAAGGGCAGACGAGAGCCCATTGTATCAGGCGATATTACTGATCTCTATATAACTCAGAGGGTAGGCGGAAAAAATATCCCCGGAAAAAATAGCCCACACACGCAAAACGTGTTAAAACCCACCCAATTTGATAGACCATAGGAAAATTAGAGCCCCTAAAAAAATAGACAACGAAAAAAATAATTAAATTAAAAAATAATTAAATTGAGCCAGTTTTAACACGTTTCGAATGTGTGGGATATTTTTTCCCTGGGATATTTTTTCCGGGATTCACTCAGAGGTGGGCAACCTCAGCTCTCGGAGCTACTTCAGCTCCCGACCTCAATTAGGCTAAATTGTCTCAAGTCATAAAATTTATGGCCGCACCCTCCTTCGGGTCCGTGATGCCCTGCGCGTAGGCAAGAGTAGAGGGGATATTCGGCATAAACTTGGTGGTGGGAAAAGTAAAATATGAGAATTTTCGATTTTTCCCATGGAAACTTCCTTTTAATTACCCAAATTTTTGTTCTGATTTTTTTGATTAGCTAATACGTTTGTGCACTAATGCATTGCACAAAAAAAATATTCGTAACTTCCATATGTTGCTTGAAGAGGAAATACTGTTCAGAAAACTATTAATAATTATTATTATGTTGTTGATCATAATAAATTTCCGAATTTCCCTTCTTTATTTTTCACTCTCAACGCCAAATTAAAATGCCGGAACATTTCCCTAAGAAAAATATTATCAGTGTCTTCCAATCCTTGGAAATGTTGAATGCATAATTTTTAATCGATTCCCATCAATATCGATCGCTTATCAACATTAATAGTATTTCTCAACAACAACAACTAGTTCAAGCCATTTACGAAAAAATGTCCTGAAATCTTTCTTTTTAAACTCATTCCGTTATGTAGAAACGGTTCTTTCAAAAACTTCACCTTTTAGTATGAAAGAGTTGAAATAATGCGAGTAATTTCACATAGACTCAACTTTTTTGCGGCTTAATATTCAATAGTTTTCAGTACGTTATTAGCAACTTACAATGAAATTATGATATTAATCACCTTCGAGTAAAGTTCTACGAAAATGAAAATTGGTTTTTTATCGGTAATGAAAATACCTCATTTTCAAAAAAACCATAAATGGGTCAAAATTTCCTTTTCCTCGCTGAAAATTTACTCCATGTTTTAGGCTTTTTTTAGACCAGCTGCAGCTGGTCTATCCAGTTATAATCCTATTCTATCGGGTGGTGAGCCTTTACAACTGAAAATGGAAAATTTTCCTTTTTCATTCCCATCACATTTTTATTTATTTTAAGAGCTGACGCTAATAATGAAATATCAAAAAAAGCCTCTAGTACGATCATAATTAGAGTTACAGTATCGGGGAAAGTTTCATGAAGCATTTGCCAAATGATAAAGTGAAAAAAATGACAGTCGCGATTAATAGAAAAAAAATTGTTAAATCCAAGCCTCGACAAAAATATTTTCTAAATAGGATGATGCATGGATGGTGGTGGGCCTTTACAACTGAAGATGGAAAATTTTCCTTTTTCATTCCCATCACATTTTTATGTATTTTAAGAGCTGACGCTACTAATGAAATATCAAGAAAAGCCTCTAGTACGATCATAATTAGAGTTACAGTATCGGGTTACAGTATGAAACTTTCCCCGATACTGTAACTCTAATTATGATCGTACTAGATTCTAGTACTAGATTCTAGTACGATCATAATTAGAGTTACAGTATCGGGGAAAGTTTCATGAAGCATTTGCCAAATGATAAAGTGAAAAAAAATGACAGTCGCGATTAATAGAAAAAAAATTGTTAAATCCAAGCCTCGACAAAAATATTTTCTAAATAGGATGATGCATGGATTCGTTGAAATTGTTAGACATGTTCTGTTGAAACCTGCTTTGAATTTGGAAGAAGAAAATGATTGATTTTGTCATCCATGTGAAGTAATTAAATTCTGCGAAGTTAGTGTTGTTTTTTCCAATATATTTTTGCCCACTCTTGGCCAGCATTTCTCAATACTGATTAATGGAAACCACGGGAAGGTGGTAGGCCTATTCTGCCAGGAAAATTAATTGAAGGGCGCTAAAGAGCAATATGAATTGAAAGGAATCTACCAAGTTTACTAAAAAATAATTTTAAAAATACGTCCCAGACCATCCACTAAATTGAATAAAAGTTATAGGTAATGCTACGTTGTTCTTTTATTATTTTTTAGCAAACTTGGCAGACCCCTTTAATTGATATCCTTAGTGCCCCCAATAATTTTTCCTCCATTTTTTCATTATTTTATACCGAATTTTGATGCATTTTAGGCTAAACAGATGAAATTTGAATAAAAGATAACGTTCAATAAATAGTCCGTTTGGGCTTTGATCACGTTTATTTCTTGAATAAATGATTGCATGGCCACTGGAACATGACATTGTCAATTTTGTTGGTCGTCACTAAAATTTAACAGGCTTTTTTTGATATTTCATTAGTAACGTCCGCTCTTAAAATAAATACAAATGTGATGGGAATGAAAAAGGAAAATTTTCAGTTGTAAAGGCCCACCACCCGATAGAATAGGCTCTCGTCTACCCTTTGTAACTCTCAGAGCGGAGGTTGCCCAGCCCTGGTCTACATAATGTTAAAGGTCCGATCCACTTAAGATGGAGGGAGTTCTAAACTGACTTGGAGGCAAGCAAAAAGCAATAATAACCTTTTAAATGTACCGTTATCGAAATGAAGATCATGTAATACATCTTAAGGAAAATCAATTTCTTCTAATTTACTCATTCATGAATGCCAAGTACTCATGCAGATGGTCCAACACCAGAAAAGACATGTCCTCTCTAGGCAGTCTCGTGAGGGTTAGTAAAGGATGGATATT